CCAAAGATCCAGGCCTTCTCCTGGGGAACGCCCTTGACTTTGTAAGCCCACTTGCGAGCGATCTTGATGGCAGTCTCAACAGCCTCGGCGCCAGTGCACATGGGCAGAACCATGTCGTAGCCAAAGACGCTGCGGACCTTCTCAGCCCACTTTGGGAAGACATCGTTGTAAAAAGCTCGGGAGCTAAGTGTCAATCGACTGGCCTGCTCGGTGAGGGTCTTGATAAGCTCCGGGTGGCAGTGGCCTTGATTGACAGCGCTGTAAGCGGAGAGGAAGTCGTAGTAGTGGTTGCCCTCAGGGTCCCAGACATTGACACCCTCGGCGCGTGCAAAGACCACAGGAAGAGGATGATAGTTGTGAGCGGCGTACTCCTCCTCAATAGCGATGGCCTTTTCGGTTGAGGTGACATGGAACCGAGAGACGGTCTTCTCAGCGTGAGGAGACATGATGTGACGTCAGAGGATGTTGTTGTTGTTATGATTCAAGTAATCAATTGTTCAAGTAGAGAGTGAGTATTTTGATTCAAGTACTGAGTTCTTGTTCTTGTTGACGAATGAATACAGAGAAGAGGAAAGGAACAGCTGGACGTTGAGGAGGACATGGTTGCTCTTTAAGGTCCGGAGGCGGCAAGAGCGTTGTCGGCAAACGGAGGCTTGGAGCGGAAGGAAACAGAGATAGATTCGGAGTTTTAGGTAATTGTTACAGTTGTCTGAGTGTTGGTTTCTGGTTGTTTGCTTTACACTATACCCCTAAGTGCAAGTGTGAGCGACAAAGCGTGGGAGTGTGCGGGCGTGAAGTTGCAAAGTTGAACAAGTGAGGACTCTGATTGGGTGAGAGGAGAGGCGGAACTTGGCGGGTGACTTGCCGCCATCGGCCGAAGTGGCCGTCTATAGAAGATAACTGTCTCTTTTGTCTTGTCTTGTCTTGTCATGACATGATAAGTACTAACAGAGTGGCAGCCACAGAAGAGGGGCTCGCTTACGGTAATGTGCAGTATCTGTACCGAAGATGGGAGATGGTACCTCTGTTGTTGATAGAAGAGGAGTACGGATTCTTTCCGTTTCCATACCTGAGACTCAATTCTATTCGCGGTACTGCAACTAAAAACTACCTAGTTTATGTTGTCTACGCCGTAGTTCTAAATTTCCGATACCATCTTATTGGAAACAAGTTGCATCCATCATGATGAGGGGAGGGGGATCAAGACAAGAGGCTCTAACAAACTCCCCATCTTTAACTTGCCTATCCTACCTGTTCTAGTGACCGCAAAATCCGGGGTGAGGGGCTAGGGAGCCAGGGACCGACCACCTGACAAGGGTCCAATGCAGATGAGTTTATGTTTACTGAGAGTGGCCAATAACGATTTCCCCATTATCATAATCAATGATTGCTATCAATGAGAATAGAAGGGATTGGTACTTGATTGCAACCAGAGTCTCAAACTCTATTGTGGGCGTTGTTCTGAGCACAGGATTTGTCTCAAATGTTACCGTCTGCAGCAGTGGAACTTCTCTCATCATTTCTCGGTATTACTTGTTTGCTATTGAGTAAGAATTACAGAATCTTATATGACCCCCAACTTTTGGTCTCATGAATTAGCCAACGTTATGTTATCACCAAGAAACTGACTGGTTCCTGGTCTCTTACCGCCAGATGCCGCCTCTTCCGCCTGTCCCGCCTTTCTCGTGTGTAAGCAGGCGGAACTCGTCTTAACTCCGCCTGAGCCGCCGAAAGTGTCACGTCAGGTATCATGATCATGGTCATGATCAGTGAATGTACTGCAGTAACAGACAATGCGGCTTTCTTATGATGATGACTGAATATTTGCTTGTTTTCGGTGTATGTTGTACCGAGATCGAGGTTTGAAGTTGCAATTAACATTGGATCTCTATGAGACTGTGGCGGTGATTGTAGCACAGCCACTAAAGCCACACTCACCCAAGAACAAGCTGTCTCAACAGTCAACTCCTGAGTTGAGATGCCAAATCAACCAACCTCAAAATGTCGTCTGCAACAGTTTCGAGAAAAGTCCTCGATGAGGCTCGAAACAAAAGAAATCGATCGGTTTTCATACGCGACATTATCATCATTCGTCTCATCAATGCTTGGTGGACGACCACCTTTTTCCAGCCTGATGAGTTCTTCCAATCTCTTGAGCCAGCATGGGATCTAGCTTTTGGCTCTCAGAGCGGTGCATGGTTGACATGGGTATGTTGATCTCCGTTAATTTGATCAAGATGACCTAGGAATTGAGGTCATCATATAATATCCTTGCCTGGAACTGGGTTGTTGTCGTGCGAGTTGTGATGTCAACTTCACTTACACTACACTTACACTGTCAACCCAGCCAGTTGATACACTCAGTCCATTTTCACATTTGCTTCTCTGCTGTCATTATATCTTATATATCTAACTTGGTGCGATTCAGGAATGGCAACATCAACTTCGTACCTCCCTTCATCCAGCTATCTTCGCAGGCGTCTATCTCATCGCCGACTTCATCTCCAGCCACATTCTCCCAATAGGCATTCTCCGCGCAGCCATCCTCGTCGCTGCTCCTCGGGCTCTCCAGGCTGTGATCGCTGGTCTTGGTGACTGGTACACTTGGCAACTAGCCGTACGCATCTTTGGAGCCAACAGCAACATCTCTTTCTTCGCTGTAAATCTTCCCTCCTTAACCTTCTCAAGACAGTAAACTAAGGTTGACCAAAACATCAGCTCTTTCTGCAACTCTTCAACCCCTGGCAATGGTACTGCTCCACTCGTACCTTTTCCAATTCTCTCGAGATGACTCTCACCGTCATGGCGCTGTACTACTGGCCGTGGGAACTCGTCGGTGCTGCGCAGGCAACCAAGGAGAACCCTAAACCTAACCCCATGCTCAAGAGTCTCTGGTCTCTTCGTGCATCTCTATGTCTTGCTGCCTTGGCCGTGGTTCTTCGTCCTACTAACGTCTTGATATGGGCGACCATTGTCTTCTTCACCCTCACTCGATTCTCACTCCAGGGGCCATCGCCTTTGTCCCTTTCGATGGTCTTGACACTGGTCCGTGAGGCTGTTGTGTGCGGTTCTCTGATCCTGGCCTTATCCGCTGCTTCGGATCGTCTTTACTTTGGATTCTGGACATTCCCTGCCTATAACTTTCTGAACTTCAACCTGTCCAAGTCTCTCGCAGTCTTCTACGGTCGTAATCCCTGGCACTATTATATCCTCCAAGGACTGCCACTGATCTGCACTACAAGTCTTCCATTCGCTGTTGTGGCGCTTTACAAGCCAACTGAACATGCTACATCGACACAGCAGTCAAACGTGCTCAGAACATTGGCCTATACTGTTTTCACCACCGTCGGTGCCTTATCACTCATCTCTCACAAAGAAGTTCGGTTCATCTACCCTCTTCTCCCAGCGCTCAGTGTTCTCGCCGCTCCCTACGCTGCTTCGTTCTTCACGTCTCAGCCGAAGCCTAACACTAACAACCCCCTCCCACGACCCCAGGTCCGCAACAAGCACTACCTTTTTGTTGCCCTTGGTGTTAATGTTTTTCTTGCGGGCTACCTGTCTTTCTTCCACCAGCCAGCTCCTCTCAATGTCCTCACATACCTGCGCCGTGAGTACGAGCGCATCCATCCAGATTCTGTCCAGCTCGCCCAGACCTCTCATTTCTCCACTATCCCGGAAAAAGAGGATGAGTTATTTGCTCTCTTCCTCATGCCTTGCCACTCTACCCCCTGGCGTTCGCACCTAATCTATCCCGGCCTGCGAGCTTATGCTCTCACTTGTGAACCCCCACTTCATACTGAACCAAACACTCTTGAAAGAGAAAACTATCGTGACGAGGCTGATCGATTCTACGACAACCCTGTTCCTTTCCTCACCTCGGAGCTGTTCAGTCCGGCAAAGTCACTCGCCGTTCCTCGCTATATCGTCGGTTTCGAAGGTATTGAGTCCTGGTTAGAGGAGTTTGTCCAGACTCCTGAAGCACACTCTCTAGGTATGACCAAGGTGCGCCCTGTTTGGAAAGGTTTCAATGGGCTTTTCAATGAAGATTGGCGACGTTCAGGCAAAATGATTGTGTGGGATACTGGCGTCTATGACAACGCGCCCCCTGACAAGAAACTATAGAAGGATCTTTTGTCTATAATAAAAAGTGTACACTTCTTCCAATGTATTATGAAAGTGGCGGGCTGTGGTTACTTGTATATTTCTTGTCAATCAGACATACCGATGGGCCATGACACATGTTTGGGTGTCATATTCGTTTTGATAGTGACCTGTACTCCATGACTATAATTCCTCCACCCGCTTGAACGAAATAAAGCTCACTAGCACACTTTCCTACATTACATGCATAATTGAGTATAAGGGTGCCCGGGGGTTCAAAACGGCCTCGCCGTTCAACCCATTTCCCAGGTATCCATGATGATTTCCATCTCATTCTTCCCACGAAATAAACTAAAGAAAATACCATCGTGCGTGACACTTTCGTGAAATGCTCATCTCCCTACTATTGAGCCTCAATCCGATTTTGTTCCTCTCCTCCGCCTCCTATTTTGGTATCTCTGTTTCAGCCTCCGGGTTTGATTGCTGTTGCTCAGTTTGTGGCTGTTCGAGCTGCACTGGTGATGCTGCAGACGTTTGCTCCGTAGGCTCGACAGGTTTGTTCTCTGATTGCGACTCTGGCGGCAAATTGGATTCTTGTTGTGCGTGTAACTGCGTGTTCGTAGGAGCAGGGGCCGATGGCGAAGTTGGAGATTGTAACGGTGATGATACTGGAGGACTGTCTACATCAAGCATCGATCTGATCTTTTGAGCCTGTGGCTTTGGGGATTCCATCGGGGCTGGAGCTGGAGTTTGCGGCTGAGTAGGAGATCGAGGCTGATCTTGAGCTGGCGTCGTTTGATCATGTATTTGAGCTGTAGGCGATGTTTGGGCTTCCACATGAGGCTCATGAACAGGGGATGTAATATCGGGTTGCACCATTGTCACTGTAGCCGTCTGGGGAGCTGGTACTCCTGCAGGTGCCGGCACCATGGTAGGGCCTGCCGCCGCGGTGTTGGTGGAAGCAACAGCTGGGGCACCGGCTATAGCTGCAAGTGAGCCATGGTGCTCATCTCTCTTGATCTCCAAGCTCTTCCCTCGGGGAGAGAAGCTTGAAGCGCCTAAACCAGGACGATCAGCGGGAGGAGGAGACTTAGCCCTCCTTTGTTCCGCACTCTCCTTTGCTTCGCGATACTTATTCCTGATCCATCCTATAGGACCCTTGGAATCGCTCTCTCTACCTTGGTCAAAACTACCTTGTGCTTCAGCAAGCATATAGGGTCGGTCTGAACTCTCGCTTTTTCGAGGCCTGTGACTAGAACTCGAAATTGACAGGTTGCTGACATCTCCATTATCGTTCTGTCCAATAGCCAGGCGTGGCGAGGTGAGACCCGCGGATGAGCCGCTGTCAGCGTTCCTACTTCTTGACAACCGCCAGCGTCTCTTCTTTTCCCTCTCTGCTTGATCAACAGTGCTGACTGACTGCTCATCGAGAATCTGATCCAAGTCCGATCCTTCGTTAAAAGACGAGTGCAATGATGTTGGTGGCGACTTTTTCGATTTTAGTGTGTTGTCTGGATGAAGACTTTGGTTCGACGACGCTTGAGAAGCTCTTGGGGTATGCTCAGATGACACATTACTCTTTTGCTGTGTCAAGGGAACGGGTGCAAGTTGAGCATCATGAACAGTTTGTAGTTGTGATCCCTCATGGAGCTGCTGCTGATGCTGGCGTTCCTCCAATGCTTCCTGATGTCTCTCTTCTAGTACGGGAGCGGGATGCTGTTGCAGTGCCTGTGGCTCTGGGTCGTGATGCTGCGGGTGGTCCATGGGGTTAGAGCGCTCTATCCCCGGAGATGTTGATGTTCCATGCGTGTATGTCAACGATGCAGCAGAGCTCTGTGCACTTGGGTTCAAACTACCAGGTATTCTTTTCTTCTTTAGCTTGTTCGGTTGCCTTTTGTCCCCGCCGTCTGTGTTGGGGATTGAACGGAAAATATTCGCAAGATCTAGTCCCTTGGCAGCAGTTGGAGACTCCTGCGGCACTTCAAGAAGCTTTTCGTGACTTCGTCCTGTCACTGGGGCCTTGCTGGGAGTAAGATAGCCACCAGCAGCAAATTCTGACGAACGCGTTGACTGGGGAGAATCTCCTATATTCTCCGTGGCATTGACTTGCGTCAAGGGCTCCAGGTGTGCGCCGGAACGAGGACTTGAACCATCAGGTCTTTGAAAGCGGCCAGCGCCAATAGCAGGCGATTTCTTGGACGGCACAGTGTTGCTCCTCGCCAGACCACCTGTTGTCGGCGTCGCTGTCAGGGCCGGGCTATTGGGTGTCGAGCTTCCATCGTTTCTGGAGTTTCGTGACGATACTGATCGGTTCCTGCGAAGTTTGCCGTCTCGTCGCACACTGTTGGCACCTGCGCTCGCGTTGGATGCTGATCGGCCCAAACTTGTCTGTCTAGCGGGTTGCGGGGTGAGAGGACCTCTAGGAGTGCCGGACTCCACTTCCTTCTTGGTCTTCTCATCAGCAGCAGTGCCTTGCATACCGATGAGGAAATGGTCTTGATTTTCAATCAGAAAGATGATAACGCATTGGTTCAGTCGGTATTCCTCGGGAGCCATAGCGTGTGCCGGGTGGGAAAGCATGCCTGGCTGGAAAATAGCTGCCAAGTTCTGTGAGTTCATTCGGTTCTCATCTGCTTTGGCGGCAAAGACCGCCAAAAGGTCAAGAATGTAAAGTAGTAGCTGTCGGTTCAGAGGGGGCAGCTCAGTAATGAGTTGTTGGTACTGCACAATAGCTGCCTTCTCGTTGAAGTTCTCTACGAACTGAGGACCCTCTGCGTCGCCTACAGCTTGCTTGGTCGCACCTCGAAGGGGATCGCGGAACTTTTCGTATAGATCGAGGGGGACGACAGGCTCGGGGAGATCGTTGAGATATCGTCGCAAAACGTTGGCAGCATCGTGTACTGTGTATCCATCCCAGACGAGACCCTTTCCGTATCTATCGGGCGAGTCGAATATGGTTTTTAGCTCCTTTATCCTCTTTTCCGAACCGCTAAGACGGAAAATTCCTTCGATATGGGTAGCTTGGACAAAACGTCAGCACAGTCACCTTGTCGGCCATTTCAACCAAACCAACCTTTTTCTTTGAGGAAGACGCCACATTTTGCGACGACAATGGGAACGTAGCCGTAGATGTAGCTCTGTCCCTTCTCATCGATGAGTGAGATTGCAACATTAGCGTATGTTATGCTCTGCCGTAGAGGCACTCCAAAGATGCCTTGCGGTCGGGTTTCTAAAAGTTCTCGAATTAGAGATTTGATGTAGGAAGAGGGGGTTGACCATTTGCGCGGCGGGTTTGTGACTGTAGGCATTGCACATGCTATAGTTTTGGGTAGGAAAAGTGTTCTTCAGAATACCTGGTTTCGGCACTGAAGCGCATCGCCAGAGGTATTCAGTAGCGAAACTAGATCGTTTTGTTGAACAGATTCAAGACACGGATCCAGCAGTGTTGCGCACGAGGTGGTGGGGGAGGAGGAAACCATACCCTGGGGCTCTTGGTGCTTTGAAGGTAATTTGAAGCCCTTCCACCATGATTTGAGATCGCGCTTGCTGGGCGGGGAGGCTGCGTTGTTGATTTGAAGGGTCGGCTGGTTGGCCTGGTTGGAGTTCGAGGCGGCGGACGTCATGGCGAACAGATGCGTATACCGGCGGCGAAAGCGACGGTTTCGAGGAGAAGGAGGGTGACGTGACGAGGGATGCTACAGCTGGGCCGGCCCAGTTGCCAGAGTCACGATGGCTGAACCTCAGCCTCAATCCAGGTCGAGGTCGAGGTCAAGGTCGAGGTCGAGAATGCGGCGGCGAGGTGCACTGAGCGGTGACCCGGGTATCGTGTTGTGGAAGAACACCGGGGTTAGAGAAGCGGGCGGGAGGAAGAGAAGATCGAAATCCGATAGGCGACGGCAGGTGAAGGGTACGTTGCGAGACTAAAGATCAGAAGCTAGAAACCGAGACCTGGAGCTGGGGGAGCTCAAGCAAGCGAGCAAGCGAGCGATGGAGTCGAGGGCAACAGCGTGCGCGCCAGTGTAGGATGAGACAGATCGGTCGATGATTGGTAGCGTCAAGGCCGTCACAGCGGTAGGGCGTCAAGGCGTTAGGCGCTGGTTTGGTCTGGTCTGGTCTGGTTTG